GAAAGAAAGAGAAAAGCTAAAATTTTAATTTTATTCTGGCATTTTTGATTAAAAATATCTTGTTGAACTGAAGAGCAAGCTGGTAGGAACTGTAAGTCTACTCTGCAGGCGGTAATGTGGGAAAGGAAATTGTATAAAGCTTTGCTTTCGTTGCTAAAAGTTCCCGATAGCAGAGCCCAAATGCCCTATGGAGAACATACATGGAATCCTTGAGGCAAGACTGGGAGTCTTGGATTACAACCCATCCTTTTGCTCTTTTTTCAGTTCCATCCAGATCTGCACCCAGATCTAGAAGCAACACAAGAACATGTCATCCTTGCTAGAATTTGTCTTGTCTAAAAAGCAACTATTTATCTGACATTTTAATACATGTTTATTTACTGTTGTTAATATACAGCGCATTAGAGCCAGAAGCTGCAATCTGATTAACACAGGCAGCTGGATATTCAGACAGATAGGTAAAGAGATATTATTTATGTGTAAATATATTATGTATGTGTGAGAGAGAAAACATAATCCATGTCTAAACGGATGTCTATCTAATGTCTAAAAATATCTATGCTTTCAGGTTCTGATTTGTAAATTCGGAACTGAGAATTTGTAAACTTTCAGGTTATGATACCAAAAAACCAAAGTGACTTAGGAAAAGTGTGGAAAAAATGCTATTAGAAAATGTATAAATGCATAACTGAAATTTATTTTCTATTAAGCATGTTCTATATGTTCCTGAACTAAGCTGCTATTAACTTGATGATTCCTGATATGTGGAAATAAGGACCACTTTGAGGAATGATCGGAAAGGAATTTTTCAGACCAAAGAAGCAATTTTCAATTTAACCTTTCAATATTGATATATTTAAAATATTTTTACTCTTCCTAGTTAGATGTCATGATTAGACTATTTTTATAACAACTTGAAAATTTATTTTATCTCCTTTTAAAACCACTTGTTTTTTCAAGGCAGGAACACCTTTGATCATTTCTAGATCAAGACTGGATTTTAAAATGTTAATAGAGTCAGCAGTTTCCCTGCCTCCCTTTCCCCCAAATAAATAGTTTTAATTGGCTTTGAAGGTATTTCAAGCACTAGTTTTGCTGACACAATGTAGAGAGCAAGGTTGGTCATTTCCCCTCAAAGTGGATGCAGTCAAGTGATTTCTTTGGCCTGCTGACTTTCCTTTTTCTTCTTGCTTTTCTATTTTTTTTCTTTTTAACTGCACAGTTATTTTTTTTTTTCAATTGCCACAGAAAGAATATAAATTTCTAAGCTGTTTTTTAATGATATTTAATATTCTATTATTTAATTTTCTGTCCTTACCCATCTTGAGATTTGTGCATTATCTTTTCCTGTGGACAGTATCCTATTCAGGATATTAAGTCATCCTACTGAGGATTACTAATGCATTTGGATCAAAATTTTCTACCTTCATTGCACAAGAGGAATCAATGCAACTGCAATGGTCAGTGGGATTGGACTTTGGAGAACAAACTCTGCTGAAGTTAATGATTTTGTAATGACTCTCACTGAGCCCTCAACATTCTTGATTTTTCTAAAAACAGAGTTGAGGAACTCAATTTTACGCTTTACATATGTAATTATTTTTTCTAAATTTACAGCATTTTGATGCATAAACTAGGAGTTTAACCTGTTTTTGGAAATTGTATAGCCTAGTGTCTTTTTCCCCTCTAATTTCCAAAATAGTAAATTGCCAACAACTAACTAATTGATATTAGGTAGCAACTGGGAAAGGAACATAAAATGTCTGTAAAATAGAACAAATTAATATTTTACCTTAGTTACAGACACAATGACAATTAATTACAAGCTTGATTTCTGAGCACCTTCTGTTGTTGACCTTCACAAACTAAAGGTGACATCAGGTAGAAGGGTTAGATACTTGGGTGTAAACCATCAAGATGGAGTTGCAGAGTCGCGTTTTTCATTGCAACTACTAATTAAAAATCCTGAGGCTCACAGGCTCTGATTCACATTATGTGACTACTCCTTTTGGTGAGGATTATCTGCCTGGATTTGCAGGGTTAGATACTTAATCTGTGAGCTTCTTGGAGTGTGGCTCTGTCATTTTACTTGTCATTTTGTCCAAGCAATACGCATAATCATTGTAAACAGAAACAACAGTAAAGCTGATAAAATTGTTTTGTATATATTATTATAAGTCCAAACTGCCAGAAGTATCCTCCTTCTCCTGCCTGAAATATGAGAAGATGCAGAAAATATGATTTTTTTTTTTTTTTTTTTTAAATTTTAGTCTGTGGTTTGGCAAGGCTTTATGTTATTCATATAAGACAGATTAGTTATGTGAGATACTTTTTCTTCTTCAGTTTTTCACTAAATGGAATACACAGTCTGTTTTAACACAGAAATGATAGTTTAATTTTTTTCCTAGAAATAATTATAGTATAATAGTTTCTTTAAGTAAATAATGGATTCTTTGTTTTTTTCTGTTATGTCTGTGACAGTTGATGCTTTTAAGGATTTTTTTTAATATTTGTTTGGAATCTTTAGCTATGTGTCTTTTTTTATAAGATGAATGTTAACATGAGAGACAATTACGTTAACGATGATCAATACAAGGAATGGAATTGTTGTATTCTCTGTAGTGTATATTATAGTTACCATGTAACTTGTTAGAAAGGAATGTGTTGAACTATTACCTCATCTATCTAAAATGTTTTAAAAAATTTGGAAAATTTTTCTCAAGGGAGCCAGCAGCTATGTGACAGTGTAATCCAAATAATTAGGCACATTGTTATTCACTGAGCAGCCACACAAACTCACTTGCCTTATATGGAATTTTCTCATCTATAATATGATTTTAAGTTGCTGTTTAATAAATATATTTTTGACATATACATTGAAAGTTTTTATGGGAAGTTGGGAAAGGTCTTTTTAGTGGAGGTTCCAATGGTCCTTTTATTTCTACCTTTTTCCTTTTGCTGTTGTAAAAGTAGTTTGAAAGCTCTCTTGTCCTATAACAGATATTGAATTTTAAAATACAACCTATTACAAATTTCTGAAAATCACAAAACACTTGACTAGTGCAGTATTATCAGTGTTCTTTCTTTTGGTTTACTGGTGTTTGCAAAGGCACTTGCAGCCACAAAAGGATTGTATGTGAAGGGAGTATGTGGCAGATGCATCAAATGAACGCAGTAAACCTCGAGATGTGTTGCATTTCTGTAAATGGCACGGTAAATGTTAAAATCAACTACTTAATATCTTAGTTTTTCTTGCTCATTGATTGCTGAAATGACACAGACATATATCTGCCTACGAGGTCTTACTGCAATATACACCGGCATGTGATGTTTCAAAGCCTTTGGAGTGCATTGACATCTATTTGCATGCTGACAAAGAAAACCAGATCTTTCATGGTAAAATCAGCCATATTAAGTTTGTATCAGTTTTGTTGGTTTTTTTTCTGATGAAACTTTGGGTGTTTGCTTTCCCTCTTTCCCCTCCCTTGAAAGGAGAACGTTATGGCATGCATTCAGGAAATTTCTGTGAGAGTAAGGCTTTTAGCTGTCAATCAATATGGCTCTGAGGATGTCAAGGTCACCAGGAAGAAAAAAAGCTCCAAATAATAATTAGATGATGTAATTGTCATGACTTGTCTGAATAACAAAGACATGTTGGCTTACATTCTGGAATGCATATTAGAAAATTTTTCAGCTAAAAATGTATTTTTGTTTCATTGTCAAGAATACTTGAAGAATTTGCATGCGAGTCATTGAAGAATGTTAAACTTCCTTAAAAACTGCATTGCAGTTTTTATGGGGTATTTTCTAATCTCTCCAGGCTATATAGTAGTGTAAGTGTAAGATTCCATGTTTTTAACTTTTGTAAAATTCCTTTTTTTTTTTTTTCTTTCCTTTTTAAAGGTGGCTTTGGAGAGCATGGGATGTCAAAAAAACGAGCTGCCCTCTATCAACTTATAGACAGGATAAGAAGATTTGGCTCTGGTATTTTCACTGTTTAAATTAGCAGGTTGCCTGATATGATAATGTGTCATGAACATTAATGATGATAGTGCTTTAACGCTTTAAAGCCTTTCTGTTTTACTATTGACATAAACAAACTATAAAATAAATAATACAAGAATAATAATGAAGAGATTAGCTCTTTGTTGCATTTTCTTAGAGGTCTATTTCCAGCATCAAATCTGGAAGCTAAAATAAGTAGTTTTAAATCTCGTATTAAAGATTCCTTAGCTTTTTCATATGGCTGTGTTCACAGTTATCAGTTCAACTGATATCAATACAATCTCTTTTCAGTACAGGTAGGCCATGCTGTATAACTGCTAATTATTTATTTTTTTTTTTTTCTTCCTGGATCCAGTTGGGGTGTTCTGATTATTCATACTGTGTTTGAAGCATTTATGGTGTGTTACACTGAACAAACACAGTTTTATACTAATCATACTCTTGTCAGTATGAACGAAGTTGAATTCAGCAGGCTATATAAGTGGAATCCCCATTAATACTGGTTGAGTTTACTCACCATATTTGATGCAAGGAGACGTCACTTTAATGTTATGAAACCTCAATCTCAAAAAGGAAAATATGTGAAACTCCATTGTAATCACACCACATTATGTCTAAATGCATCACTGCATATCTTGTAAGATTAACCAGAGCACAGTAACTGCCTTTGCAGGTGTGCTCTGGTATGTAATCATCATTCTTTATAAAAGAATTACAATTTTAGTATTGCATAAATGCTTGTCGTCTTCTGCATGCAATTTGGCATAAATTTCTTACTACTTCCAGTTCAGAAGAAAGTTGATAAAAATAATTTTAAATGGTAAAACGTCTATATTAACATGTGATGTGGTTCAGTAGTGACTGCATATTAAGTGTAACAATAGTTTTTCTTCTGAAGTTTCTACCTGTGTTGCAGACTGTTGTGTAATTCTCATTTACACACTTACTTAATGCAAGGGTAAGTTGTTTGCTTTACCTGAGTGTTTTTTTAAACCCTGACATTTTCTAGATCATTCCTGATGTAATTTAAGTTATGTGTTAGTTGTTACAAAGTCAGGTTTTCTTCTCGCGCATCAAGAACTTTCTCCCTGCCTTGTGCTGTTCTTCTTCCCTTTCTTCCTTTTGCTGCTCTCCCAGCCATGGGGCTATGCCAATATACTGTACCATGATCGATCCTGTCCTGGAATCCTCCCCGATCCCAACATACCCATTAACACTTAAGTGGAACTGATATCACAGGAGATACTCACAGAGGGAAGGTGTACCCTTGAATGAGGAATAAGAATTCTACCCCACCGATTAGGATTTGTTGACCGCCTTTCAAGTGATCCGTTTTAATCGGTTGCCCTAATGTTCATACTAACTTATAAATTGCTTAAGAAGACGACAGCTAACCCCATTATGGTGTGCAAATCCTTGTCTAACTATCCTTATCCTCTTCTGTTGTCACAGTAAGTTTCAGCTGATTTGGGAAAGATTTGCCTGCAATGGGACGAATGGTGGTAATATCTCTGAAAATAGCAGGCATTTTTTGGTCTTGTAAAGAAATTCCAATCATGAGTAATACTTATCCATAGGGTTCCAAAAGCTCGTTTATGAAAAATCTGTATTTGCATCCTGAAGTGTTGTAGGGTTACTAAGAAAACGAAAGTCACGTTTTAATCTGAAAATGTATCTACTAGTAATACTACAGGTGATGGAGATCGGAGGGAGAAATGACCCTCTGACTTTTTCCATATGTATACAACTTTGCAAATAATATATCTATTTTTTCCTTGTAATTCCTGTTAATAAAAGCCAATCTAATACTTTAAGGACTTCTTTCTGCCCAGTGCTTTAAGAATGGTCATACACTCTTTTTTTCCAGATGTTGCAACAAAAATGAAAGGGACAGTGAATGCCTTGATTACTTTGGGTCTGTTCAAAGTCTTTCCTTCTTTGCTGGAAAAATCTTGATTTATTTAAAAAAAAATAAATACACAGGGAGTAAGATTTTTTTTAAAAAAATTATTATTCAATGAGAAAATTTAGATGAAATTATGCAATGTGCCTTCAAGTTGATAAATATATGTGCGAATTGTTGCTGTACATATGTGTGAAAAATGAAGATTTAGACTCTTCATTTCAAGCATTTCTCAGAAAACTAAGTAATGAAAGACTGTTGCATAACAGCAATGTCCTATTTTAAAGGGCATAAAAAAATAATCTGACTTTGACCTGCTGGAAAATAATTGTTCTCTTTTTTGTGTGTGTGTGAGATCTCATTCAGTGTTTTAATTATCATTACAGGCTTTGAGCAAAATAATACATCTAAAGGAAGAACTACTGTAAAATTCTCAGGGAAAAATGAGAAAAACCGATTTCCCAGAGCTGCTACATCACGAACAGAAAGAATATGGCCAGGGGGTGTCATTCCATATGTAATAGGTGGAAATTTCACTGGTAAGCTTTGTCCTTTGGATGGGGAGAAGGAATATGAATTTTTTTAATTGCCACATTTTTTTTTTTTTTTTTTTTTTAAAGTCAAGTCATACTATGGAGGTCAATAGAAGGGTTTCTGTTGGATCAGGCCTGAAGTACATCTGTTCTGAAAATATTAGTCATACTTCAAAAAACTGTTCCCAAAGGCAAGCTACATAATAAAAATGTATAACTACGTTTTAGAAAGGGAAGGCTCTTTTTCTTTTCTAATATTTCTTGTAGCATGTTTGTTTTCAAGAGACTAAGTAACCGAATGGCATGAAATCTGTTTTTTAAAAAATGCAGGATATTTAGCACAAGAATATAACTAATTTAACTGGTGTGACATGTTACCCTGCTAAACTGATTTCACTCTACAGACTGACTCAAATGTGTTTTGTAATTCCTCAGTTTGGTTTTCAGATGCATGCACACAGACATTATATACGACAAGAAGAAAAACTGACTTCAAAATATATAGAATTCTTAGCAGAAAACTGTAGAAAAAGTTTAACACCTGTGTTATCCCTGAAAAATGTAAATGGATCAATATCAATGTGGATGTAAGAGGTAATTTAAAACAAAAAGGGAGGGAGAAAAGCAAAGATGGATGGGAAAAGATATGTAATAACATCTTATTGTGCAGAATAGTACAGGCAACAAAAAGAAACATGCAAACAGTCACACTTTTTATGCATATGTATAAGGAGAAACCAGAGTCATTCCTTTCAAACTGAGAGCTACAGTCAAATGTTTAGTTTGGGTATTTACATAGCACTATAACAAGTGTGACCTTTGCTTTAGGATTACCATCTTCTGAAATAATGGCAGTAAACTAAATGAAAGCATATCATGTTAAATATTTTACCTTTTTCATAATGAAAGATAAATTCTAAAGCTTGGCAAACATTGCTTACAGATAAAAGAAAAAGGCAAGATGGGATGAAATAACCTTTAGTTTTTAGGATCCTGACATGATTTGAACTTGCTGGTTTTTATGAACTTTGAGGTTTTGTTGTCTTTAAGTTTAAAAAAGTTGTTTTTTTAAAGAAAATTATCCTATGCTGTAGCATGCATCTTTGCAAAAGTCTGCAGGGTGGATCTGTTTCTGCTAGCAAATTCATGCCAAGTAGTACTGTTCTTTGTGGATTTCCAGCTCAGAAGCAATACAGCCGTATTCTCAGATGCTGCCTCTAAGTTAATAAGCCTTGTCTTTTGTCAGGCAATGCAATTACACTGCTATACTACCTGAAGTACTGTATAGTAGCTGGCTTTGTGTTATGTGGTGAGAGCTGGTCTGGCTGCTTCTGCATCTAGAGTATAGTTTCTGAACTATAGAGTATTGTTTCTGAACGTGTTTCTCGTTTTTAAAGCAAATATCTAGATATGCTTGGTATTGTACCAAATTAAGATTTTCCCCCTTTTGGTGGATCATTTGATTTCTGAAAGGTTTTGATGTAAAGAAGTGGAGACTAGTTCCCTGTTCAAGACAGCATTATTAAAATCAAATGCCTTGACTGGTATGCCTGTTTACACAGCTTAGGTTAAATTGATTTCCAGATTTGAAGGCTGTAAGGTTTGGTTTTTTTTGGTTTTTTTTGTTTTTTTTGTTTTGTTTTGTTTTTTGTTTTTTGTTTTTTTTAAATTCTGGCTAGATAGCTAGGATCCAGGGTTCCCCAATTTCTTTTTTTCTTTTTTCTTTCTTTTTTTTCCCAATGTAATTCACTTGATAATTTCATCTGGGAAACTGCTTAGCAAATATTATGCTAATACAGGCATGTAAGCAACACTAGATTTCTTCTGCTGTCTTCCTCTGGTGTAACATCACTGTGCTTTTTATTGCAGGTTTTATGTTTGCTAGAGTGTGTCAAGCACTATTGGTCCCCTTGCAGGCAGATACGTTATGACGAGCTGATGGTCTGAGTATCCCTGTAATTGGAATTTGGCAGTTTATGGCACTGCTGGGGCACAGGACTTCATGATCCATGATCCTTCCAGGCCTATATTCCTAGTATTAAAATCTGATTTTAAGGAAGAAGACGCAGTTAGAAGTGTCTCTTATTTTACCTCATACAATTATTCTTCCAGGCACCCAGCGCGCCATGTTCAAACAGGCTATGCGGCACTGGGAAAAGTACACGTGCGTTACATTTATTGAACGAAGCGATGAAGAAAGTTATATTGTATTTACATACAGACCATGTGGGTAAGTGTGTAGGTATAGTGACAGATACTTGTGCTTTCAACGTTTGGCCATGTTTGTCGTCTTTGCAGTTATAAATGAATATATACTTCACAGGAAAATGAACAGTTACTGTAGCTACATGTGTTCTGCTTGGCTTTAAGTTCATTGAAAGCAGTACGTATGGTAGCTTTTTGAAGTTATGATTCTTCTATCTATTTCTAGATAAAATGATCTTGCTGTATATACACAGATATGAGACTTTATGTTTGGCTTTCTGTCATGCCTTTAATATTTGTATGTATTGCTCTAAAGGTATTTCAGGCTTATAATCTGTTTATTCTTAGCTTTCTCAATGTCACATGTTTACTGCTGAATTGTGTATGAACATCTATCCCATATTCCTTTTCCAGCCTAGTTGTTATTAATTGTAATTTTAACTCTTCTATTGTTAGACTGTCCTTGCCCAGATTTGTTTAACCACCAAATTCATGACCGTTTTGCAAATTGCTTCTTCCAGGTTTTATCACTCATTAGTGCAGCTTTCCATTAATCACTGTGTTCCATCTTCAGATATTTCTGTTCACAAATGCCTCAGTCAGCTATGTTTGTTATTTATTCCACTCAGAATTCTTAATTTTCTATAGTGGTCAGTGAACTTCCAGAGTGCACCATCTTCATTTTCCAAGAAGAGCGCTCACTACCTGTGGAAATACTGTACTTCTGATAGTCAGCTTCCATTTGGGTTGTAGGTTCCACAGTGAACAGCTCTGTGTCTTGCTGACTTCCTGACTGACGAACACTTTGCATGCCTACTTTTGAATTTTTATGGGATAGGGTTGTGAAAAGAAGTTTTGGGACCTCCTTGTGTTGTAGGAGTGATCCTGAATATACTTAATTATAGCCCGTAAAATTACATGTGGACTTATCTGTTTAAATTACCCCTGACCTTCTTAAGGCATAGGACAGCATGATATATTTTAAGAAAGGCATCACCTTTGCCCTGGAAAGTCTTTGTGCGACAGATCCTTGCAATCGGGGAGCTTATTCTACGGGAGCACCTGTGAACCTGCCTGTCATGTTGTAGACTGGTCTGCTGTAGACCCTTGTTAGAAACAGTGCCAAATGAAGTGGACTTTTGTTCTGACCCAGCATGGCTATTATTTTAGCTAACGATGCAACGTGTAAGATAGGATTCAGGCATATTGACATAGAGCTGGAAGACAAATGGGAAGCAGAGAATAATTGTGATGGTTCCCTGCACTCACAGAGGTAGAAAGCAATGTGAATTTAAACAGAAGAGTGTGAAAGATATAAGTGTCCTCAGGCGCTTTAGAAAGAGAAGAGAAGTATGCGGATACCTACAGGGATCTTTGTTTTGTGAAAAGTAAATTCTACAACTTCAGAGTGCCCAAAGCCAAACGACAGAAACTCTCTCCAGCCAAAGCACTGTTCCTTAGGCTAGTTGATGCTTCATCCTTGTGAGATCAAGTCACTTCAGGGTGAAGGCTGGATTATAACCAATTTGAACCAAACGGTTGGAATATACTCAATATCTACGTTTAAAATCACCATTATCCTTTAGTGTTAATGTTGTTTTATTGGTGGGTACTTTACAAATTACAAATAATTTACAAAGGCTGTAAAAAGTTTAAAATAAAAACAAGGAAGAGTGTGGCTATGAACAGTCCACCAGTGATGAAAAAAACAGGCTAAACAGAAGGGGCAGTTGAATGACCTTTTTTGGGGTCCAGAATCCATAAGCCATTTCAGGAAAAAACAGATAAATAAGAACGTATCTGCTCTGGGTGAATAGGAACCACTGTGCACTAACCACCGTCATACAGTGCTGATGCAGGATTTTCCATGGAAAGAGCCCAGACAAAAGTGACACCAAACCATCTGCAAACACTTTCTGCTACATGGCCAGTCGCACTGAAATTAATCTCAGTTCTTTCCCACAGCACCCTGCTGTGTTGGTTTGTTAGCACATTGTGTCATTATTGTTTGCAGTACCATGGCAGCTAACATTCACAGATGAGGGAGACTTTATTGTACTCAGCACTGTTCAAATTAAAAACTAAATGATAAACCCTGCCCCAAAGAGCACACAGTCAAAACATAACGCATTTAATGAAATAGAAAGTGAATACAGTCATATATGTGGAAATTCAGGTGGCAATATCTACAAATGTCTCAGATGACAGCATTAGCACACTAGCAAGTGAAGTGTTATTAAGCCTTCGTAAGCGTTAAGGATATTTTGAAGGAGTGTAATGCTGAACTTCTTGCAGCAGTTCATGGGAAGCTCATCCCAGAAGGGCAGTGATGAAAAAAGCATATTTGAAATATAGCAGCTGGTTATCAGAGATACATGACCTTCCTAATGTTGAGAGTTTGTATACCAGCAATGAAGGAGAGAGAAGTTTTGATTATCATAGACCTATAGGACTGCAAGGGATCTCAGAAAGATGTCTAATGTATTCTTAAGACAGAGACAGCTATACTTATGTCATTGCTGATATATGCTTGTCTAACTTGTTTCTAAAAACCTGAAAAAACGAATACTTCACAGCCTGCTAGGAAATATATTGCTTCAGTATTCTTAATATAAGAAATGTAGGAAGTTGGGGCAGTATTTTTGGTCATAGCTAAACCAGATATTTCTTGCTGCAATTAAAGTACATTAACTCCTTTTCCTGCTCGCCATGGCCATAGAAAAGAAATAATTCCTTTTCCTTTTTTGAAGGAATCTATTAGATACTTTGAGGCTGTTATTATGTCCACCATCAGTTCTCTTGTCTTTCAGACTAGAAAAAGCTTGGTAAGTCGGGTTTTCTAGGCCTTTCATCACATTGTTATGCTCTGAAATTCTTTTCAACTAGTCCACATCTTTCTTGAAATTGAGGATCCAAAAGTGGAACATGTTTGTCCAGATGAACCATTACTTCTGCTCTAGCCAGTGCTAGAGCTAATTCATACATCTTGTAGTCTCTCCTCCCACTTAGGTACCTAAGCATGATGCCTCCCTGTTTTTCAGTAGCTGCCTCATTTGATTCGTGGTCGATCGGGATGTGACTCTGAATAAGTGCCAGAGTTCTTTCCACAGCACTGATATCCCGTCACTGGTTCCACCGCGTGCCATGTTTTGCACATCTCAGGACACCAAATAATGCCATATTTCCCTTTGCAGATCTGTTCTCTAATCTGTTAAAGTTGCTATCAATTCCAGGCTTGTCTTCGTGGTATTTAGCAGTCTTTTCTCAAACTGCAAGTTTAAGGAGCATTATTTCTAACTTCACTTTATATAACGTTCCAACCAGCTTTATACCCTCCTTTATATCAGGATCTCTGGTTTGCTTATGGGCAGCTTGTGTGGAAAAATGTCAAAAGCTTTCTGGCTGGATCCCTCCTTCCCATCAGAATAATTTCATCGGTTGCAGTCTTAAACTATAATTATTTGTCATCAAGTCTTGTTTATTTAACCTGATTTTGAGAACAGTTAATTATTGAAATATTGTTTCGTAGTACAGCTGAAGCACTAACTTAGTAGTTTGAAATTTTGTAATTACTGGTAGTTATCTGTACCCATTAGCTGCGGATGTGAGAATAAGAATATAGCATTAAGATAATAGATAATCTCCTACCAAAGCAGTGTACATTGGCATCAATATCTATTACAGCAAATATTTTTGCGGTTACTTGATTAGGGCGAGTAAAACTCTAGTCTGTAAACAGGTTCAAAGCACTCTTTGTTCACTACTGCTTCTCTATCCTTATGTTTCTTCCTATCAGATAGGAAGTGCCTGAAGACACAGTCAGTATACTTCTCTGTATGCAAAGCCAAAAAAGGGGTCAGCAAACTGGAATGGCCTCTAGTCACATGCTCTTATTAAATATTACTGAGCACAAGGTCAAGCTTCTTTTTATATAGTGAGACAAAAAAAGAACAATTAGTCATATTGTTCTGGCATCTCAGCATGCCTTTGATCTGACTTTGTGGCAATTTTTGTTCTCCACCAGAAGACTTAAGTACTTTTTATGACAAAATGTAGATGACTTATTACAATCACTGCTGTATCCTCTTGTACGGGTATTTGACAAAGCTGTCTGAAATATGGGAAAATCAGATCTCTTTCATGTGCTTCTCCAAACATTGTAGACTGAACAGCTTCTGAATGTTTTAATGTTTTTTGAACTTGCTTGTATGTTAAATAGCCATTACAGGTGAGTTCTTAAAGTTGGTGAAACGGGTGAATTCATTGCCTGAGGTACACTTTTTCAGCATTCTTTAGCTTTAAGAAGGATTACATGTTATAAAAGGTGCTCAATCACTTTTATGGAATGAGAAGAAATTCAGAGTTGTACTAGCTAATCTGTGGCGTTAGGGCTGACTCATGCTCTCAGGTGGTAATTAACTCTAGCAGCTGGCACTCTTCCTGCCCACAGCAGTTGACACAGCTTCTCTGCTGGTTGTGGCATGGCCTGCAGGATGGGTGTGACCAAGGTGCAGGTGACCGGCTGCCATAGTCTAAAACACAGTGCATTAGCATAAACTGAATGAGGGGTGATTTATGTTAATGCACTGGGATAGGCAGCTGTTAACTGAGGAATGGACTCAGCTGGCTGTTCTTTGTAATATGGGGATGGCTGTCTCCATTGAGCAGGTGAAGAAGCAGTAGCCACTTCTGCCATTGCAACAGGTCCTCTTAGGACAGTGAATCAGAACATGTGGTAGCTACAGCTATATTGATCCCTGACAATAAGCAAATGCATCAAGCCAGGTCATAGCCAATATCTCCTTTGTACAGAATGAGTTATATTTGTGATTGAAAGACGTGTTTTTTCACCAAGACAAAAATCTCTGCTTCTTGAGTGAGATTTTGTTCATGAATTTGGTGAATTTCTTTCTTTTGCTTTGTGCTGATATGCAGTCTTAGTATGCTTATGAAGTTCTGTGGTTTTTCATCCACAACTTCATGCAGTTAGTGCTATGGCAAGCTGATGTTGTGGTCTATGAGGAC